TGCATATATCTAGACAGTGACTGCCTGCCTTGTGAAGATATCTAGACAGTGACTGTCTACCTTGTGAAGATATCTAGACATTGACTGTCTACCTTGTGAAGATATCTAGACAGTGACTGTCTACCTTGTGAAGATATCTAGACAGTGACTGTCTACCTTGTGAAGATATCTAGACAGTGACTGCCTGCCTTGTGAAGATATCTAGACAGTGACTGCCTGCCTTGTGAAGATATCTAGACAGTGACTGCCTACCTTGTGATGATATCTAGGCAGTGACTTTCTACCTTGTGAAGATATCTAGACAGTGACTGCCTGCCTTGTGAAGATATCTATACAGTGAGTGTCTACCCTGTGAAGATATCTAGACAGTGACTGTCTACCTTGTAAAGGTATCTAGACAGTGACTGTCTGCCTTGTGAAGATATCTAGACAGTGACTACCTGCCTTGTGAAGATATCTAGACAGTGACTGTCTACCTTGCGAAGATATCTAGACAGTGACTGTCTACCCTGTGAAGATATCTAGACAGTGACTGCCTGCCTTGTGAAGATATCTAGACAGTGACTGCCTGCCTTGTAAAGATATCTAGGCAGTGACTTTCTACCTTGTGAAGACATCTAGACAGTGACTACCTGCCTTGTTAAGATATCTAGACAGTGACTGCCTGCCTTGTGAAGATATCTAGACAGTGACTGTCTACCTTGTGAAGATATCTAGACAGACTGTCTACCTTGTGAAGATATCTAGACAGTGACTGTCTACCTTGTGAAGATATCTAGACAGTGACTGTCTACCTTGTGAAGATATCTAGCCAGTGACTGTCTACCTTGTGAAGATATCTAGACAGTGACTATCTACCTTGTGAAGATATCTAGACAGTGACTGTCTACCTTGTGAAGATATCTAGACAGTGACTGCCTGCCTTGTTAAGATATCTAGACAGTGACTGTCTACCTTGTGAAGATATCTAGACAGTGACTGTCTACCTTGTGAAGATATCTAGACAGTGACTGCCTGCCTTGTGAAGATATCTAGACAGTGGCTGTCTACCTTGTGAAGATATCTAGACAGTGACTGCCTGCCTTGTGAAGATATCCAGACAGTGACTGCCTGCCTTGTGAAGATATCTAGGCAGTGACTGCCTGCCTTGTGCATATATCTAGACAGTGACTGCCTGCCTTGTGAAGATATCTAGACAGTGACTGTCTACCTTGTGAAGATATCTAGACATTGACTGTCTACCTTGTGAAGATATCTAGACAGTGACTGTCTACCTTGTGAAGATATCTAGACAGTGACTGTCTACCTTGTGAAGATATCTAGACAGTGACTGCCTGCCTTGTGAAGATATCTAGACAGTGACTGCCTGCCTTGTGAAGATATCTAGACAGTGACTGTCTGCCTTGTGAAGATATCTAGACAGTGACTGTCTGCCCTGTGAAGATATTAAGACAGTGACTGCCTGCCTTGTTAAGATATCTAGACAGTGACTGTCTGCCTTGTGAAGAGCTCTAAACAGTGACTGCCTGCCTTGTGAATATATCTAGACAGTGACTGCCTGCGCGTGAATATATCTAGGCAGTGACTTTCTACCTTGTGAAGATATCTAGACAGTGACTGGCTGCCTTGTTAAGATATCTAGACAGTGACTGTCTACCGTGTGAAGATATCTAGACAGTGACTTTCTACCTTGTGAAGATATCTAGACAGTGACTGCCTGCCTTGTGAAGATATCTAGACAGTGACTACCTTGTGAAGATATCTAGACAGTGACTGCCTGCCTTGTGAAGATATCCAGACAGTGACTGCCTGCCTTGTGAAGATATCTAGGCAGTGACTGCCTGCCTTGTGCAGATATCTAGACAGTGACTGCCTGCCTTGTGAAGATATCTAGACAGTGACTGTCTACCTTGTGAAGATATCTAGACATTGACTGTCTACCTTGTGAAGATATCTAGACAGTGACTGTCTACCTTGTGAAGATATCTAGACAGTGACTGTCTACCTTGTGAAGATATCTAGACAGTGACTGCCTGCCTTGTGAAGATATCTAGACAGTGACTGCCTGCCTTGTGAAGATATCTAGACAGTGACTGTCTACCTTGTGAAGATATCTAGACAGTGACTGTCTGCCCTGTGAAGATATTAAGACAGTGACTGCCTGCCTTGTTAAGATATCTAGACAGTGACTGTCTGCCTTGTGAAGAGCTCTAGACAGTGACTGCCTGCCTTGTGAATATATCTAGACAGTGACTGCCTGTGCGTGAATATATCTAGGCAGTGACTTTCTACCTTGTGAAGATATCTAGACAGTGACTGGCTGCCTTGTTAAGATATCTAGACAGTGACTGTCTACCTTGTGAAGATATCTAGACAGTGACTTTCTACCTTGTGAAGATATCTAGACAGTGACTGCCTGCCTTGTGAAGATATCTAGACAGTGACTGCCTTGTGAAGATATCTAGACAGTGACTGCCTGCCTTGTGAAGATATCTAGACAGTGACTGCCTTGTGAAGAAATCTAGACAGTCACTGCCTGCCTTGTGAAGATATCTAGACAGTGACTGCCTGCCTTGTGAAGATATCTAGACAGTGACTGCCTGCCTTGTGAAGATATCTAGACAGTGACTGCCTGCCTTGTGAAGATATCCAGACAGTGACTGCCTGCCTTGTGAAGATATCTAGATAGTGACTGTCTACCTTCTGAAGATATTTAGACAGTGACTGCCTGCCTTGTGAAGATATCTAGACAGTGACTGCCTGCCTTGTGAAGATATCTAGACAGTGACTGCCTGCCTTGTTAAGATATCTAGAAAGTGACTGTCTACCTTGTGAAGATATCTAGACAGTGACTGCCTGCCTTGTGAAGATATCCAGACAGTGACTGCCTGCCTTGTGAAGATATCTAGATAGTGACTGTCTACCTTGTGAAGATATTTGGACAGTGACTGCCTGCCTTGTGAAGATATCCTCGCACTCACGGCTACCATCACTTACTCGGGACCCTCACCACGCACTCACCACCCATTCTAAACTATAAACTAAACTTTTTTGTTTGTTTCACCAGATAAGGTACCACCACTAAGCTACAAAGCTCTGTTTTCAGAAACGACCTGGGCACAAATGATAGCTCAACGAAGTGGGCTTATCATAGTGTGGAAATTTATCGCAGTCAGATACGATAAATTTTGATTTAAAGCTTTCGTGACTGCAGGGATTCATATTCTTGGTTCTTTCGGTAAAGTCACCACGTAGAAGGGAAACAATAAAATAATAAAAATATAAAACAATTAAAATATAAAACAATACAATATAAAACAATACAATGTTATTGTTTTATATTTTTGTTATTTTCTTGTTTCCCTTCTACGTGACTTTACCGAAAGAACCAAGAATACTCTTAACGTGTGATGTCGATACTAAATATGGAGGGGGAGGTGGGGGGGGGGGGAACGGAGGACCCGGAGAAAAATCCACGTGACCAAAGGAGAGACACGCAAACTCCAAATATACGGGCGTCATGGTCGGGATCGAACCCACGACCTTCTGTATACCAGGCGAGGCAGTTAACATCTCATAGCCACCGCGGCGCCACATTCACCACCACCAACACCACCACCCTCAGCAGCATCTTCATCGACGGTTATTAACTACGACCAGCTACTCGTAACGATAAGTAGCACCACCACCACCACCATCATCATCGTCGTCGTCGTCGTCATTACACCGACCATGCATTCACAACGGCCACTCACGATTACCACTTCCACCCTCTCACTCACCACCACGATAGGGAGACAAAGGCGGCCGGGCGTGGTGTTGGCCACCCACCCGCTCGGGTGCCGTTCCGGCCTTCATAGGTGCTCCTCGCTAACAGCACTCGTCCCTACAGTCTGTTAAGGCTATACGGGGGATCTTTGTCTTTGTATTTTGGGAAGCGGTTCAGACGATTATCTGAACCAGTCCTGAGCCTCCCCTAAGTCGACTAGCCTCACCCCCGAAAGTCTGCCAAGGCTATACGGGGTGCGGGGACCTTGAGTATTTTTGTTTGTGTGTGGGGGAATTTGGGGTGCAGTGGTCAACGCACCGCGCTACGAATCCGGCCACCCGACTTAACATTCTCCGCTCACGACCAAGTTCAAGTGGCGAATATCTGAACCGACCACGCGGAGGTGGCGTGGTTGCGGATCGCCCAGATTGAAATGGATCGGCTCGAATCGAATCTGGTAATGCTCACGTCCAGGGGCTGCCACGTTTTTCACGGTCGACCAAACCCGGACAGATGTCTCAGTCGGCGCTCGGTCTATTGCCATTGCGCAGTATCCTGTGATTGAAGCGAGTCCGTGGGTGATGTCTATGTATTCGTGGGGAGCGGTAGGTCGAGTCAGCCCTTAAATGGATAGACCTGGTGCGGTGTGTAACTGGGGAGACGAGCACTCACCAACTACTGACCATCTTCCACGACCAGCCACTCACTGCCATAGACACACACTCATTCATCACGACCACTCACCATTACTACCATGCAACTCACTTCCATCACTCAGCACCACCACCCGACATCAATGACCACCAACACTCTCTACCACTCAGTACCACTAACCACAACCGCTGCCGTCACTGACCATCTAATCAGCACCACCTTCACCAACTCTACCAACCACTATACCCACCACCACCGTCACTTCCACCACCCCTACCGACCCACCACGCTACGGACACGCAGCACCCACACCCACTCCTCGACCCCACCAGGCATAATTTCAACATACCACACCACACCCACCACTCTACCACCCTACCCTACCACCATCCAGCACTTACAACCACGACACGCCACCCGCAACCCACCCACCGCCTTTCCACCCAACCACCACCAACCACTCACCACACACACACCCACCCACCTCTCCCCCGTGTCTCTCTCCATTCGCCCCCACACCACCACCGCCCCCCCCCCCCATTTCCACCTCCCCCCACCCCTTCGCTTTCCTCCTCTCCATCCCTCCCACCCCACGACGCTCCCATTCTTCTCCCTGCCGTTTCCTCTCTCAAACCTCACCGCACGACCTCCCCTCGCGCCGTCTCCTCTCTCTCTCTCTCCTTCGTCCTCTGCCTCGGCCGGGAAGGCAACGGGGGGCAGAAGGCGAGGCGAGCTAACCTCCCTCCTCCACTCATTCCGTTCCTCGCAGTCTGCCGGTAAGTGGAGGTGGCGATCAGGCGTGTGTTTGTGTCTGCGTGTGCGTGTGTGCCTGCGTGTCTCTTGTGCGCTGGTGTGTCTGATCTTTTGTGTTGCTTTTAGGAATGCCGTGTTCGTGTGTGCGTGTGTGTGCGTGCGTGCGCGCGTCTGGTGCGTGTGTCCGCTTTTGTGCGCCTCTTACACATTCCGTGTTCGACTAAGTGTGTGTATAGGATTGAGTGTGTGTGTGTAGGATTGTGTGTGTGTGTGGGTCGGAATATGTGTGAGTGTCAGTGCATGTGTTTGTGTGTGTGCATTTGGCCAGCTATTACAATTCGCGTGTTCTTGCGTGTATGTCTGAGTTTTTACGTGTGTGCTCGCGAAAAGCACTTGCCCGCATCAGTCTGTTAAGGCTATACGGGGTATCTGTGCCTTTTGTGTGCGTGTGTGTTGCCGTGTGTCAACTCAGCCTTAAATCAGTGCCTGGTGCGGTGTTGTAAACATCGACACACTGGGGAGACAAAGGCGGCCGGGCGTGTGCCGTGCAGGCCTTCACATTGGTGCTCGCTCACAGCACTTGCCCCAACAGTCTGTGAAAGAGCTATACTGGAGGCGGGGGAACCTTTGTCTTGTGTGTGTGTGTGTGGGGAGCGGTGGTGCAGCGGTTAGCGCACTGCGCCGCTAATCCTGCGACCCCAGTAAAGATTCTCCGCTCACGACCAACACCGTGTGGCGAATATGTGAACCCAGTGACGATTATCTGAACCGGTCCTGGGCCTCTCCTAGGTCGACTCAACCTTCAGTGGGTTGACCTGGTGCGGTGTGTGAATATCAGCACTGGGGGAGACAAAGGCGGCCGGGCGTGGCGCTAACCCCCCCCCCCCCCCCCCACCGCCTCCCCAACAACTCTCGTGTTGCAGTGCCAGGCCTACTTCATAGGTGCTCGCTCACCGCACTTGCCCCCTCCACCCCACCGCACCCCCAACAGTCTGTTAAAGGCTATACGGGGGATCTTTGTCTTTGTAACTCGAAGAGACATTGCACCTCGCTCCGACAGACACACGCGCGCGCGCGCTATAAACCTCAGCGTTATTGCCTGTGAGCAAATGATATGTACAACATGTGTGTGTGTGTACACGGCAGCGTGAATAAAGTAGGTACGCGCAACATTTTATTATGATGATTATTTGTGAAAAGTGAGCGAGGGGTGTGCCGTGTTGTGTGCCGCAACGAGCATTATAGACACGAGGCGGGTTGCCACCAGTCCGGATTTAGCCCGGAGAGTCCCGGATTTAGCTGCTGTGCTTCGAGATGCGGTGCCGGTGTAGGACTTTCTTGTGATAGACCCCTGGGCGCTGACTGAGAAATCTGTCCCGGTTTTGGTCGACAGTGCTGTGGAAAAAGTGGCAACCGTAGCACTCACCCACCCACCCACCCGCGATCTCACTCACCCACTCGTTCGTTCATTTGCAGCTTTATTTACCAAGTAACTCACAAAGTTCCCCCGTATAGCCTTAACGCCCGCCCGCCTTTGTGGCGATGTATACACTTCGCTCCTCACAATACATACACATCACCGACGGACTCACTTTAATCACATGCTGCACAGTGATAATAGACCGAGCGCCGACTGAGACGTCTGTCCGGGTTTGGTCGACCGTGAAAGAAGGTGGCAGCCCTGGACGTGAGCATTGCCAGATTAGATTCGAGTCGATCCATTTTCGCACCACCCCGCCTCCACCAGTGATCACATTGTAGCTCCATCACCACGCTGCTTTACCGCGGTAATTCTACCACCATAACAATGACTATCACCATTACCTACCGCGTTCACCACCGCCACCGGCACCGCCACCGTCACAAATAACAAAGATCCCCCGTATAGCTTTAACAGACTGTAGGGGCAAATGCTGTTAGCGAGCACCTATGAAGGCCGGAACGGTACACGAGGGGGTGGGTGGCCAGCACCACGCCCGACCGCCTTTGTCTTCCCAGTGGCGATGTTTGCACACCGCACCAGTTACTCATTTGAGGCTGAGTCGACCTAGGGGATGCCCATTACCGGTTCAGATAATCGTCACCGGTGTTGGCCGTGAGCGGGAATTGAACCCGGGTCGCCGGGTTCATAGCGCAGCGCGCTAACCGCTACACCACCGCTCCCCACAAGTAACTCCACCACCAACATCACCACCACCACCATCATCATCCCTTCCAGCACCTCCTTCACATCCTCTTTACCCACCATGTTTGTTTGTTGTAGTACAGAGTTAACCTGATAACTTGAATCTAAATTTTCTTATGGTTGTTATTGTTTGACTTGCATCCCACTGGGATTTTTGCACACAGAGTTGAATGAAATACGGTGCTTTTACTTTGGCTGTTTTTTTTCCCCAGGATTTTTATGTTGCGTGTTAGTCACTTTAAGATGTTTCTTGTTCATGTTTTTTGTTGCGGCCGCGGTTGCACCCGAGTCAAGAGCCGCATGGCTCACAGGGTTATACCTAATAAATAAAACCGACACCTCCCTCATTTCGCCTGACCACCAGACCCACCAGAGCCGGTGCCATGGGGTCCCCGCTGCCGCCGCCGCCGCCGCTGCTGCTGCTGCTGCGCTGGCTGCCCCTGGCTGCCCTCCTGGCGGTGTCTCAGCTGCCCCGGGTGCGGTGCCTCTCGCGGGGAGAGCTGCTGTCCCACGGCTCGGCCACGGGTGACGAGGTGCTGCCCGGGGGAGATGACATCACCTCGTGGCCCGTCAACCTCGCCGTGCCCATCCCCTTCTTTGAGACGACCGTCGAAGCATTCCGGGTGAGAGAACTCATCAGGCGGAGCTGGGGGGGGGGGGGCAGGAAATTTAAAATATATTTGTGCCACCCCCGGCCGGCCACCCCGACACCTGCAACCCCCTAGCAGCGTGGCAAAGACATCATCAGCTCAGGGGGTTCGGCAGTGGGTCAGGTGGTGGGCGTGGGGGGGGGGGGGTCACCCAATATTTGATTTGTCTCTCACACTACAGATCGCACGTGGAGACTATTTGTATACCGCGGCTCCTCTTGCCACGCCCGGCCGCCTTTGTCTCCCAAGTGGCTCTGTTTACACACCGCACCAAGTACTCATTTGAGGCGAAACGACCTAGGGGGGAGGCTCAGGACCGGTTCAGATAATCGTCTGAACCGGTAAGCATTTTCATTTAAAAATAAATTTAAACCGCGTTGTAAATAAGTTGTTGTTAATCTTTTGACTGTTGTTGAAAGGCTATCTCGTTGTGGTTGTCAAGGCCCCCCACCACCAACTTGTAGCTTTAGCCACCGGGGGGTGTGGGTGGAGGGAAGGCACCCCCCCCCTGGCCCCCCACGCTCGTTGCGCGCCTGTCTCACCTCCCCCCCACTACCCCCGCCCCTCCCCCCATCCCCCCTCCCCCATCCCGTCCCCTCCAACGCGGGGGGGGGGGGGGGCTCGTGAGGGGCGAGCCTTCCCCCCCGGAAATTTTCTATCAGAGAAAAATGAAACCCTCATCGGTATCGCCACGATGCTACAACTACTACTACGACAGAACGACTACACGGTAGCGCTCTGCTGATGAGACCCGGGAGGTGAGAACCGGTCCAGAGGTTCGCTCTCCGAAACCAAACGCTGTTGGATAAAAAAAAATAAAAAAAAATATTCCCCGTGAAGCCAAGAGGCAGAGCCAATGGGTCGACACGTCTCGTGAATTACACGCGGCAGTGTGGAGACAGCAGAGGCTCTGCATGGCCCTTCACTTATTCCAGTGCTGGGCGACGACAGTCACACAAACTAAACTAAATGTTATTTTACCATTTAAGGCATCGCTGAGCCATGTAGATCTTTTTTTTCAGAAGCGACCTGGCCCATTAATGATAGCTCAACGAAAGTGGATTACAACGTGGAAATGTACAGTGGCAGACAAATACTCTGAACGCGTGACGTTGTTTCTAAATGTGGAGGGGGGAAAACCGGAGGACCCGGAGAAAAATCCACGCGACCACGGGAAGAGAGAGAGAGAGAAAGAGAGACACGCAGACTTCAAATCAACAGCAGCAGGCGTCAGGGTCGGGATCGAACCCACAGCCTCCTGTATACCAGGCGAGAAAGTTAACATCTTACCATCGCGGCGCACGTTGTTGGCAAGAGTGTAAGCGGGTGAGCCATAGAAGTACATTACAACAGTTATCTTGCCCGCACTGCCATTGTCTCGAGTGTAGCGCTATTGATTTTATTGAGCGCTGTGTTTGCGCGATGGCTGCGTGCACACTGCTGTTGGATACACAGCGAGTGAGAGATGTAGCTATGTCCAATAGCACAAAGATCCCCCGTATAGCCTTTTATAGACTGTTTGGGCAAAGTGTTGTCAGCGAGCACCTTCGAAGGCCGGTATCGCCAACGAAGGGGTGGGTGGCCAACACGACGCCCGGCCGCCTTTGTCTCCCCAGTGGCGCTGTTTACACACCGCACGGAGTAGCGCACCTAGGGGAGGCCCAGGACCGGTTCAAAATAATAGTCACGGGTATTGGCGGCTGTGAGCAGGAATTCGACTCGGGTCGCCAGGATCGGAGCACATGCATCATTCACCCCCACTCAGAAAGACATGGACACACGGAGACACGCGTACACACACCCACGTGTACACACTGACCATTCACCCACACTCAGAAAGACAGGGACACACGGAGACACGCGTACACACACCCACGTGTACACACCGACCATTCACGCACGCTCAGAAACACAGGGACACACATAGACACGCGTACACACACCCACGTGTACACACTGATCCTTCACCCACACTTAGAAAGAGAGGGACACAGAGACACGCGTACACACACCCACGTGTACACACCGACCCTTCACCCACACTCAGAAAGACAGGGACACACAGAGACACGCGTACACACACCCACGTGTACACACTGATCCTTTACCCACACTTAGAAAGAGAGGGACACAGAGACACGTGTACACACACCCATGTGTACACACCGACCCTTCACCCACACTCAGAAAGACAGGGACACACAGAGACACGCGTACACACACCCACGTGTACACACCGACCATTCACCCACACTCAGAAACACAGGGACACAGAGACACGCGTACACACACCCACGTGTACACACTGACCCTTCACCCACACTCAGAAAGAGAGGGACACAGAGACACGCGTACACACACCCACGTGTAGACACTGACCATTCACTCATACTCAGAAAGACAGGGACACGCAGAGACACGCGTGCATACACCCACGTGTACACACTGACCATTCACTCATACTCAGAAAGACAGGGACACGCAGAGACACGCGTACACACACCCACGTGTACACACCGACCATTCACTCACACTCAGAAACACAGGGACACACATAGACACGCGTACACACACCCACGTGTACACACCGACCATTCACTCACACTCAGAAAGACATGGACACACATAGACACGCGTACACACACCCACGTGTACACACTGACCCTTCACCCACACTCAGAAACACAGGGACACACAGAGACACGCGTACACACCCACGTGTACACACCGACCATTCACTCATACTCAGAAACACAGGGACACACAGAGACACGCGTACACACACCCACGTGTACACACTGACCCTTCACCCACACTCAGAAAGACAGGGATACACGGAGACACGCGTACACACACCCACGTGTACACACCGACCATTCACTCACACTCAGAAAGACATGGACACACATAGACACGCGTACACACACCCACGTGTACACACTGACCCTTCACCCACACTCAGAAACACAGGGACACACAGAGACACGCGTACACACACCCACGTGTACACACTGACCCTTCACCCACACTCAGAAAGACATGGACACACATAGACACGCGTACACACACCCACGTGTACACACCGACCCTTCACCCACACTCAGAAAGAGAGGGACACACAGAGACACGCGTACACACACCCACGTGTACACACCGACCCTTCACCCACACTCAGAAAGACATGGACACACATAGACACGCGTACACACACCCACGTGTACACACCGACCATTCACCCACACTCAGAAAGACAGGGACACACGTAGACACACGTACACACACCCACGTGTACACACCGACCATTCACTCACACTCAGAAAGACATGGACACACAGAGACACGCGTACACACACCCACGTGTACACACCGACCATTCACTCACACTCAGAAAGACATGGACACACGGAGACACACGTACACACACAGACGCAGATCCACATAGACGCGCGTACAAAAACAAAGAGACACACACCAGCCCACCCACGCGCGCACGTGCATCAGTTGAACAGCGCTGCATACCGTCTCATTGGCGTGCCAACTGTTGCATTGTAGCCCTCTTTGATCCTCTGGGATATCTCTCTGGCCAAGCTGAGCGCTTCAGGCTGGGGTAATTTTGTCGCGCGAGCCGTTTCCTCCAAATTTAGCTGCGACATTGGTTTTGCCTATATCCCTCACGTCTCTCTCCCGTCTCTCGCGTCTCTCTCTCTCTCTCTCGTGCCCTCTCTCTCTCTGGAGGTGAGCAGAATGCAAGCGGATGCTTTTGAGGCGGGGTGATGTGGGGGAGGGACATTTCAGCGCGCGCGCGAGATGCAGCCACAGCGGGCTGACGATCATCATTGCCACCGGAGGTCACCGGTTCAATTCCATTTCCTGGCGCGCCAGTTGTAAAAACTGAAAAAAAGATGTTTCTTAAAATCCACACCTACCCCCCCCCACTCATCGCCAGCCGACGTTTCTGTGAACCCAGCAGTTTGGTCCACGGCAGGGGTCAGGAAACCCCTGGGGCTCGGGAAGCCACGTGCGGCTCTTTAAAGGACTGCCGCTTCGTGACAGATTTGTATTAAGGACCACCGCCGTCTCGTATTCACCCGCGTGTGCAGTATGCGGCTCTTGAACAATTGTGGGTGCGTTTGTTTTTTGAAGATAGATGTGTATACCGAATTCGACCAAAATGGCTCTCGTTGTTATTTTATTGGTTGCCGACCGCCTGGAATAGCACGGAAAAGCACCAGAACTTGTCTAGTCTAACCCTAGCACTAGACTAGACTAACCCTAGCACTCGTCTAGTCTAACCCTAGCACTAGACTAGTCTAACCCTAGAACTAGACTAGACTAACCCTAGCACTAGACTAGTCTAACCCTAGCACTAGACTAGACTAACCCTAGCACTAGACTAGTTTAACCCTAGCACTAGTAAAGACTAACCCTAGCCTAGGACTAGACTAGTCTAACCCTAGCACTAGACTAGTCTAACCCTAGCACTAGACTAGTCTAACCCTAGCACTAGTAAAGACTAACCCTGGCACTAGACTAGTCTAACCCTAGCACTAGTAAAGACTAACCCTAGCACTAGACTAGTCTAACCCTAGCACTAGTAAAGACTAACCCTAGCACTAGACTAGTCTAACCCTAGCACTAGACTAGACTAACCCTAGCACTAGACTAGACTAACCCTAGCACTAGACTAGTCAATCCCTAGCACTAGTAAAGACTAACCCTAGCCTAGCACGAGACTAGTCTAACCCTAACACTAGAATAGACTAACCCTAGCACTAGTAAAGACTAACCCTAGCACTAGACTAGTCTAACCCTAGCCTAGCACTAGACTAGTCTAACCCTAGCCTAGCACTAGACTAGTCTAACCCTAGCACTAGACTAGTCTAACCCTAGCCTAGCACTAGACTAGTCTAACCCTAGCACTAGACTAGTCTAACCCTAGCACTAGACTAGTCTAACCCTAGCACTAGACTAGT